AGAGGGGGGGGCGGGATGGAAGCCAGTGCAGGGATGGGCAGAGGGGGGGGCGGGATGGAAGCCAGTGCAGGGATGGGCAGAGGGGGGGGCGGGATGGAAGCCAGTGCAGGGATGGGCAGAGGGGGGGGCGGGATGGAAGCCAGTGCAGGGATGGGCAGAGGGGGGGGCGGGATGGAAGCCAGTGCAGGGATGGGCAGAGGGGGGGGCGGGATGGAAGCCAGTGCAGGGATGGGCAGAGGGGGGGGCGGGATGGAAGCCAGTGCAGGGATGGGCAGAGGGGGGGGCGGGATGGAAGCCAGTGCAGGGATTGGCAGAGATGGGAGGGGGATGGAAGCCAGTGCAGGGATTGACAGAGGGGGGCTGCAAACACTGACTGATTGGTTAGGTGAATGAGTCTAGCAGCTGCATTCATGATAGAATGAAGGGGGGATATCCTTATAAGTAAGCTACTGTTGTAGAATAATAAACAAAATTATATTAGGGTTTTAACCCCTTCGTGATGGGAGATGTACACTGTACATCCCGCCACAAAGTGCCCAAATGACTGGCCACGTACACTGTACGTAACGAGCTATTTGCAGGTCTGTAATGCTGGTAATCGCTGATTCTCAGCAGAAAGAAAAGAAATAATACTTACAGAAAGAAAATACATATGAGAGAATTATATACAATATTACACCAGAGACGCTGGACGTGGGACCAGAGGGCAAAACAGTGCTTCAGCAAAGGGTAGTGGAGGACCACAAGAGAGGCAAGTCCTCGGATATATCTCACGGTAAATAGATATCTTTTATCTGTTAAACAGTGACACTAAGAGATCCCCCCCCCCCCCCAAAAAAAAAGAAGAGGGGGAGGAGGAACAAAATGAATTCCCTTCTGTAATACGCTCATAAATACTCACAGAACTATGAGATGGAATGTAACGAGACCAAAATGCTCCTATACTGAGTGCGCCGTGGAAATCTAATACAATTAAATGAATAAGTACCCACAGGTGTCAGTTCCAAAATCATAGTAGGGACAAACAATATCCTTCTAGAGGGAAAAAAAAAGGACCCCCATCCCAAAATGACCCCCTAACTCATTATCCAAACCCAAAAAATGAAAACTATTTTCAGAAATTGACAGAAATCCCATCAGGAAAGGAAGTGCACAAGAAGAAGAAGGACCATCAGTGTTCAAGTAAGGGACGGTTGATTTTGTGACCTGAAATATTTTGTCTGACATTTGAAAGCATAAGCCACAGGTGGAAGTATAATGTATAGAAGAAAACACCGAAGAGACATTTTGAGAAGGGAGTCCCCCATGCGGCCACTTTGCACTAAGCAGGGTGAATCCTGAAACTTTGTTCTGCTACACTGTAGGTAGTCTCAGAGCCGTAGCCAGCTCCTTTTGGACCCGAGGCCAGAACAGAAAATTGTGCTCCCTAACAGACGTGTGCGGTATGTGACGCCACGCACCCCGCCTCCAGGATGGTGGCACACATGCGCAGAATGCGCTGACGGCCAAATCCAAAATAGCTGTAAGACCATGTCTGGCAGCGGAGGTAGGACTGCGCATGCGCATAGGCATGTTCACCACATTTGCTGGAAACGGCAGCTATTGCGCACGCGCAAGCGGTAGCCGGATGCGCGAAAAACGTGCTCACATGGCGCACAGGAAATGACTCGCTCTGTCTGGGGATGATCCTATTTAAGCTGGCCCAACTCCCAGAATCATTGCTGAGTGGTCTTTCAGCTTAGTGTGTGTGTTTTGTACCCTGCCTGTTATCGTATTATTATCGACCGGATTCCTTGACCTTGCCTGACTGCCGCCTGCCTGCGACTTCTGCTTGTCCCTGGATTCTCCTTTGCCTGCTCCTTGTGTAACTTGCCGCCCGATTGTTGCTGACCCTGGCTTGCCCGACTCCGCTCTGCTCCAGCCGCATCAACACTGGACTCCTGCTTCACTGAAGACGGGCCTCTAGGACCAGTGGCCTGCATCTTCCGGCACCGGTGCTGCCCGCGGTTCCCCCACCTCCTGTCTCCACATTCAGGGGTGTGGAACTTGTGCTGCAAAGGAGGCCTCTTCACAACTCGGCTTCCTACCAGGTACGTGATAATAGCATAAAAATGTGTTTAGTTTGACGAAACCAATGAAAACATTTTGCCCCCGTTCATTTCATCTGAAACAAATTTTTAGTCTTTGCACATGTCTAGTAATATGTGTGCATGAGTGTGTGTGTGTGTGTGTGAGGGGGGGAGTTGTTTCTTTTTTAAATTTCTTTTTTATTATTATTTTTTTTACTGTTGGGGAAAAAGTAAGAAAAGAAAAAGAGATTGAGTCCTCTGCCCATACAGGCAGGGAAGAGCAGCGGGTATCCGAGGAGAAGCGGGAGCCTGTGCCGCTCCTCTTCTCCCTTCTGAGCCGCGGCTGTGTTGGCTGCCTGGCGCCCTGTGCTCGCCATGGCAACAGGGGCAAGGGGGCGCAGCCAGGCCGCCCTGGCTGTGCCCCCTCTCAGGGGCGCCTGAGGCAAGTGCCTCACTCGCCCCATGGTAGCTACAGCCCTGGGTAGTCTATGCTGATTTAATAGTTCTGTGTTCATTTGGTCTCCCCTAAGCTCAGTGTTAATGTTTGCTTCTGTCTGCTTCTGAAGTGTGACCCTGAGCAGCAAGATACAGTGATGCTGAATTAATATTTGTGTCGCCCTGACCAATCTCTAGGAGTTTTTTTGCTGGTGTTACATGCTGGGGAAGTCATGAATATGTGGGGCTTACATTGTGAGTGTCTCTTTCCCACAGGCTCCTGTCTTAGATAGGATGTGTTGTTGAATCTGGTGTAGCTAGGCTGGCTGCCTAAGGGTAGATCTGCATGTGCTTGGAAATGGAGGGCTGAAATTACAGCCTGTGCCCCGCCGTGCCTCGGGCCCCATAGTGGCCGCCTGGGTCGCTATGGTGATTGTTACGCCACTGGCCTGAAGCTGTCCTGTCTGTGAGGGAAAAACTGACCCAAGATGGAGTGCCAGGTAGAGTGACTCTGCTGGAAGGAGGTGAGGCTAGGTAGAAGTTGGATCCTCGCAAGAGGCCTGATACCTCTCTTGGGAGACCACTGGAAGAAATCTGCTGACTAGCTGTCTGTAGCCCTCAGCGGGGGCGGGAGCTGCGGCCGGTCTTGACATTTAAAATTCAGTTATATGTGCAGCTACCCCGAAAATAAGACCTAGCGCTATCTTCAAGGATTTCTGTAATATAAGACCTACCACCGAACTAGGTCTTATTTCCGGGTTAGGTCTTATATTACAGAAATCCCTGAAGATAGCGCTAGGTCTTATTTTCGGGGTAGGTCTTACTTTCGGGGGAAACACGGTATGCTTCCCTGAGTGTTCTGTGTAGACTTGGCTGCGGGGATCAGGAGAAGGATGATGTCATCACATTTACACCGGCTGCGGCCTCGATTGAAGAGTAATATAATACTCAGAATGTTTCATCCATTAGGGCAGTGCTTAAACCTCAATCTGCTAAGGCTTGCCTCAACTGCACTCGAAGCCTGTTACACTATGTTTTGGAGTAAAAAAGTCCTGTTCCAGAAGATGCAGCCCCAGGATCGGGTGAGAGATTTGGAATAATGGGAGAGGGTAGCGGCTCCAGCTGAATTGTCGGCTACTGATATTGATCAAAATTTTGCTATGGGGCCCTGTGATTTCTAGTTACGCCCCTTCTTAGAAGCATAAGAGGAAGAAACACAGTTGGGCGATTCTTTGCAGCAGCTTTGGCCTGGTAGAACAGGAAGTCTGGATGAGGGTGGAAAAGTTTACAGGAAGGAGAAATAGCACTGTGGGCCCTGGTCTGTGAGAAAACAAATCCACCCCGTCTGGTCAGAAGTGGCATTTGGGGGTATTTCTGCTGACATTGATGTGACATCAATGTAACTGTACAAACTGTGAGGTAACTTCCTGTACTTTGGTGCAACTAACTTCACTTTTCATGTGTGTCTTTAGAAACTGTGCATATCTGAGGCTCTAAACCTTGTAACTGACACCACAGTGCACCGGTTTTGGAAATAGTACAGCGGGATCGGCATACAGCTATGTAAATGAGCCCTTTCCCCTCTTTCCCCTAAGCAGGTGTAGTCCACTTCCCCTTAAATCGCAAAACACTTATCTAGGGCTCACTCTGAGGCCCATGGCATTGTTTACATTCCTCCTGATCCATTGTCCGCACATGCACAGTCTGGGCCCAAAGACATCTAAGGAGCTGGTAGAAGGGCTGGCTCTGTCTAGCATCCCCATAGAAGTCTATGGCTAGCAGACAATGGATCTTGAAGCCAATGGGTATTCCTTATTTGTAATTACACACTTAGTTTTGGAAATGGAATAAGAGGTGAGGACATCATTTTGCCTTTTCTTAAAGAGAAGAAAGACTTCATGTTTGGAGACATCATTATCAGCTGCCCGGGACCATGCATCATCCATATGATTTCATAATGACAATGTTCCTGGAGATGGACGTATCACTTATTTAGATCTTATCACAAACCATAGCTAGTTCTCTCTGGGTGCACATGTGCGTGCATATCAATATCTATATTCTGTAGGGTTTTATTCCTTTTTGATAACTTTTTGTATTTAAAACATTTTTTCTTTAAAATCAATGAAGATATCCATGTAGAAAATGTTTAATTTCTTTGAAACAAAAAACATACATTGAGTTAAAATAAAGTAAAGTATTCTGTAAAGTTCTACATGGGCATCATTTGTTGCGTTAAGCCTTAAAGCAACCTTCCATGATACTCCCCTAAATACATATCTGCTTAATAATTCATGTTAAATATAAAGGCAGCGGTGAGGCACGATGATGTCACCTGCACTTCCCATCAGAAGGTGGAGCAGAGGTAACTTTTAATTTATTAAAGTTTATTTTTATCAAACTTTTTTTTTTTACCAATATATGCTTGGGGTATCAGTAAAAAAGTATTTCATTATTCATGGAGGTTCACATTTTTAATGATACCGTACAAAAAAATTATTTGCTTCTGTTGTCAAGCAAATGCTTCTTTGAATTTAAATTGGGGTGACAGAGAATTATGTAGCATTTTGGAAGAAATATACAAAATAGAAGTCCGGCATTCGAGGTCAGTATAGCAAAAATCTCCACAGCCGCTACATATTTCCCTTTGGTGCTCAGATAGGCCGGGATCATGGCAATCCAGACACTGCAGAACACCAGCATGCTGAAGGTGATGTACTTGGCTTCATTAAAACTGTCCGGTAATGTCCTCGCTAGAAAAGCTGTAATAAAACTGACAGCAGCCAGGATCCCCATATATCCCAGGACAGAGTAGAACCCAAAGACTGACCCTTCATTACACTGAACGATGACCTTTGTGTGGTAGGAGCGTGTGTCCAGCTCTTGGAAGGGGGGAGAGATCGCCAGCCATACAATGCAGATGACAACTTGGAATGATGAGCAGATGAAGACAATCAAATTGGGCACTTTTACTCCAACCCACTGTTTCCACACACTGCCCGGTTTGGTGGCTTTGAAAGCAAGCCAAACCATTACAGTCTTGGCCAATACACAGGAGACCGCGATGGTAAAAAGAATTCCGAAAGACACTTGGCGTAGCCTGCAGGTTGTATCCATGGGGCGACCCAAGAACAAGAAGACGCAGAGGAAACCCAATGAGATGGTGACCAGAAGGACAAAGCTGAGGCTCTTGTTGTTTGCCCTCACAATGGGGGTATCACCATAAGAAATAAATATACCCATTATTAAAAAAGTAAAAATGCAAAAGAACAAAGTGATAGCAATAAAAGATAAAGACAGGTAATCATCAGTATAAGACAAAAACTCTATCAGCTTGGAATCACACCGAGTTTTGTTCTCATTTGGCCACTCGTGGTCTGGACACTTCATGCAGTTCTCACTTCCTAAAAAAATAACAGGGAGGGAGGATACTTTATCTTGATAACCATATCCAAGACTGAAATGCTATTATACCAATATCAGATGTACATCCCAATATTTAAAATGTACATAGATTAGAAAGTGTACTGGAAAACAATTGTAGAGGTCCACCCATTTTTTTATGTGAAAAAACATCAATCTGATAATATCATATCCTATACACATGCAACAGTCAGTGAGAGGTTCAGGGAGGGTTTGGTGAACTTGAATTCGATGCTGAATCTGAACCCCATTGAAGTTAAAGGGAGAGAAATCTTATAAATCATCAGTGGGCATTTTGTAGGTAAGGGATTACCTAACAAAGGTCATGCCTGGACTGAGCAGTACCCTGGAGGACATGTACCAAATCAAGGAAATGATGCTGCTTCCTATCACTTCCCTAGCAACCATTGACAGCAGGAAGCTGTCATATATAAAAATGGTGGAAATACCACTATTGTATACCGCATGGTGTTTGGCTATCAGATAAATGCCTTAACAAGCAAAGTTTGGTCCAAATCTGCATTCAAAACAAACTTATAGCTCATCCCTACTCTCCAGTAGTATAGAACAGTGGAGTAACTTTTATATTTTTGATACGGTTTCTTGGGCTGCCTATAGCAGATTATCGCATGCATGACGTTTTGGTGTTATGTGTAGAAAAGGCAGGTTTGGACTGGCTATAGGTAGACGGTAGTGCTGTCTCAATGCATCCTAAAATCCCATCCCTGGGATAATACTGCCCCCTCCCCCCATCCCCTCTCCTTCTCCCCCCCCTTTAACTAATCACTGGATTAAAAACAAGCCCTTTCTCCATGGCCTTTTTACTTTCCCAAAGCCATGGTCACTTCCGTCCAATCCCGAGCCTTCTATCATATTCTCTTTGAATTCGGCAGAGTCCTTCAAATGTAATGCAATGTTACTTTGTATCTATCTCCAGCCTGAATAATGTTTATAAACAATGTTACTTTGTATCTCTCTATCTCCCTCTGATCAATGTTAATAAACAATGTTACTTTGTATCTCTCTATCTCCCTCTGATCAATGTTTATAAACAATGTTACTTTGTATCTCTCTATCTCCCTCTGATCAATGTTTATAAACAATCTTACTTTGTATCTCTCTATCTCCCTCTGATCAATGTTTATAAACAATCTTACTTTGTATCTCTCTATCTCCCTCTGATCAATGTTTATAAACAATGTTACTTTGTATCTCTCTATTTCCCTCTGATCAATGTTTATAAACAATGTTACTTTGTATCTCTCTATCTCCCTCTGATCAATGTTTATAAACAATCTTACTTTGTATCTCTCTATCTCCCTCTGATCAATGTTTATAAACAATGTTACTTTGTATCTCTCTATCTGCCTCTGATCAATGTTTATAAACAATGTTACTTTATCAGACAATCTTTTTTTCACAGCAGCAGCTATGACACCTGTTTTTCTTACACAGTAACATCTACCGTCAGTTTCACACTGCTTGGTGAGGACGCTGGGGGATTAGCATCTGGGCAGAATGAGGGGGAATACTACACATGCCCTGTATACTTTGATACAGTTTTTGTGGGCTTGTGTATTACATCCGGTGCCTACAACTATGTAAAATAATATAGTCAGCGGATAAAGTCAAAATTGTTATCTCTGTGTATATAATGGTTGCTGAGTGAACATGTTTGGCTTCATCTAGTAAGTTTATTGTTATCTTCCTCTATTAGATGAGTTACAATGTTGGTGTGCTAATGTGGAACTACAGACTGACGGCTATCATTTAAAAAAAAATAATATAATGGAAAATATCGCACCTAGTCCATCTGAAGGAAGTCCAGGTCACCATTCCTGTGAGCCCTAGCCATCAGGGATATTCCCCCTGAGGGTGTACGTCTGTGGCTCCCAGCACTCCTTATTATGTGAGTGTCACATTGTCCACGTATAAGGACTGCTAACAGCCATTAGAGAAGAGGAGTGACCCGTGACATTATCAAACATAATATAACACTAATATATAGTTCACAGCCTTAAAAGATAAAATATAGCAGATCACGCTTGCAATATATTTAACATCATTTGTACCACTAACAAAAGTCTTTAAAAGTTATAATAAAATGCACCTGTTACATTGGACATCTCTCCTTCTGAGCATGGCACACAACCATAACAACATTCAAATGTATCTGAGCTCGGCACTTGTCTGTTTCCAGGTAAACAGTCCTCAGAACACTGCGATCTCGGGATCTAGATGTGAACATTTTTTTGTTACAAAACCTTCAGATAAAATGTTTAAGTGATAATTTATTTCATTCATTTACATCATTAAAATAAGATAGACGTATATTTTTGAACACGGTCTCTGTTTGCCCCTGGAAACCATTGTCACAGGCACTGGAAGTAATCAGAAATCTTTCAGCTTTCACCAGAAGAGGAATAGAGAGGAAATCTTCCAATGGGGACACTTGTTCTAGTGAAAACTGTCTAAGAAAAAAATGATTTAACTTCCTGTTCGCTAACACTACTAAATGACAGATCTCGGCTGCTGAGTGTATACAAACTGGACCGGGATCCCGAATGATGTCCTTGACGAAAAATGAAACAGTAGAAAGGCATCATGGCACACTCACAAACCAGCATGTAAAACAACTTGTCTCACCACTAAGATTAATAACAGAGGTTTGGATACACGTCTTCTGCAGAAAATTTGAAAGCCGCACTGCCGCGCCAAGGCACCTCTTATAGTGCGGTCCTAACTCTAAACTATGAGAGTCTCCATCTTGGAGCACATGAGGGCAGAAGATTTCAAATCAAACCTATAAGAGGTGCCTTGGCGCGGCAGTGCGGCTTTCAAATTTTCTGCAGAAGACGTGTATCCAAACCTCTGTTATTAACCTCAGTGGTGAGACAAGTTGTTTTACATGCTGGTTTGTGAGTGTGCCATGATGCCTTTCTACTGTTTTACTGTTTTACTGTTCAAAGCCCATTTCGTGTGCACCTTACTGTATAACTGGTGACAAGTTGTTGAGTGCGTTTGTCGTTTGTTTTGCTTGACGAAAAATGGTCATGCTGTGTCCTATAAATAGATAGAACACGGCATGACCCTTTTTCGTCAAGGACATCATCCGGGATCCCGGTCCAGTTTGTGTACACACAGCAGCCGAGATCTGTCATTTTGTAGTGTTAGCGAATCAGATGAACATAATGGGGAGGTGGGAGTGTCATGTTGATGGGTCAACATCATTGAGCAGCGGGTCATTGCTGGACCATGTGATTGGATTTACATTGAAGGACATTGTTTACTTCCTGTTTTCAAATAAATGCTCGCAGTGTAGATGTTTTTGTGGATTTGCTTTTTTGTGGGAGAACACAACAAGCGTTACCTTGTACTCAAGCCTCTTAGGCAGGCAGATATCTGGAGGGGTCTAAATTCTGATAGTTCTCCCATCCCCAGATCCCGTTTGTGGGACAAGATGAGTTCAAGGGGGGAAAAGGCTTTGGCACCTTCTACCCCTTGCAAGGTACTTTCCCAATGTGGAGGACAAGTGGTCTGGTATGGTTTAGGGCTGTGCCTCCTTTCCTGAACATCTAGCCTGCATGTTTGAATAAAGGTCTGATATGAATTTTAAGGGAAACCCCACCTCATTTTTGAAGGTACATTACATATAAAGTAAAAGGAAAAAAATGCCACGAGGTATTCCACCTAAAATTTGAATCAGACCTTTATTTAGGCATGGAGCCTTGGGGGCCAGCAAACTGAAGATAGCAAATGTGCACCCTGCCCCATGAACTATACCAGGCCTTCAACATTGAGAGAGAACCTAGCAAGGGGTGTGGAGTTGGCAAAGTTTCCCCTCCCTTGCAAACTAAATTGTCCCCATGTTGTGGGAACAAGGGCCTCATCCCCACAACCTGTTCGCTAAGGGGGATGTGGGAGTTTGCAAGGGGGACTCATCAGAAACTGGAAGCCCCCCTTCCACTATGTAAACAAACCAGAACTCTGGGAGATGACATTGATCAAGTATGGTAATGGATATATTTGGTCAATGAGGGTCACCAAGAATGCCCGGCTGGTTTGTTTACAAATATTGGCTGGAAGTTTGTGAGGGGAAAACTGGCTAAATATGGCCACTTTGTTCAGCTCTTCATAGAAAGATAATCCCTGCTGGTGACTAGTCCTCTGCCCTCTGCTTGCCTTCTCTGGGTGCAGCTTTCACAGTACATGTCCTCCTTAATCTTACCTCTTTCTGGTCATTCTTCCATTTTATTAAACTCGCATTGATTAAAATATTCTGATCACCGGAAGTATATTGCTCAAATAATCCGACATCATTTGTGAGTAAAGTTTTGTTGAGTAATAAATGGTTTTGGATAACATATTGCGTAACAAATTCTCCGTCTTCATTAAAGTAGTTTTGTAAAATGTTTTCTGAGAAGTAGCGCGCAGCTTTTATATATCGGAGCAAATTCTGCAGAAAGACAAAAGTTTAGCTGAAACTATAATGGATCTTTATTGAGCCATGGACCTCAGGTGTTTCTGGAGGGCTGAACTCATTCCACCCCATCACTAGCTGTGCCACCACTACTCCGTCTTCTCAGTATGCCTGTTATACTAAGATTAAACAACTACAATAAAGTCTACACAACCTAACATTCCAATGTTATATGAACAGCAACAGGTCTGTTTTCTAGTAAATACCCTTATAGTCAAAATTATTTGTATTCACTTTGTGGTTTTGAAGAAATTTAACGCCGTGCTCTTTGTTACATTTAGTAGATCTTATGCTTTGTTTGAATAGATCCATGCTAAAGTTTTTAATGTTTTTTTTTTTTTTGATGAAAGTATTTGTATATTTGGTAAAATTACCATTTGGCATACATTTGATACTATGTGTATTCCTATAAATTGTACTTGTTATATGATTGTATTCAAAGTGTGTTATTCAATGGATTACCAGGTGAAAATATAGGTGGAAAAAAAACAAATGCAATCACCACATCTATGGTTTAAATATGTTAATATTAATGTGAGCTGCACTCGCCTGGTGTTTAAAGTTATATAAGTGGCTTCCAGAAGATTGTGTCTTCATGAATACAAGCATATCATGTAAGGCAGCAGCCATAGAGTAAACCGCGAGATACACTAGGTGGGCGTTTCCGCCATGCAGGAAGTGTGGGATGTCCGTAATATGTTCTGTGCCATTGCAGTCATGAAGTGAAGTATTATATAAATGTTTAAAGTAAAGATTTTTTTGCTTATTTACAGAAGAACAACCTAATTCTTTTATCCACAGCTCTTCCAGTAACACATCTTGTGGCTTCTTATGTGGTTGGAATTTATTTACAAAGTCACTAAGTTCTGAGATTCTGCTGGACTTGGCTCCAAAGGACAAGCTACAATTATATATTTCTGGGTGTTTATCAATGAGAGCAATGCTTGTCGCCCAAGTAGGGCTAAGGATCACTGTTCTGTCATCTATATAACCTCTTATAAAAGGTAAAACGTCAATCGCAAAATCAAACAACGTCCCGCATAGTACAATGACATTGACAGATGGTTTTTTCAAAGAATCTTCATTCCATCTATTAGTAAGTGAAACCTCCTCTGCGTGGCCATGTGCTCTTAAATGAAAAGCAATGCAAATTTTATAGAGAGTCATGACTTTAGTTAAAACCATAAACTCTTCTCTCCCGCTGTCATCATCAGATGAAATAATTCCTATCCAGTTCCATCCAAAGTTCTTCAGCATTTGAGCCAAGTTAGAATAAATGACCAAATCATTTTGAACCATCCGGAACAGGGTCGGAAAAACAGTCTTGTCCTTCAGTGATAGGTTGGTTGCTCCATAACTGATCTATCATACAAGAACAGAATGCAGAATGATACATAATAACATGGTGTAGCTGGCTAGGAGAACATGACATTCCAGCTTTCAGCAGACGTGTCTTGTAATCTGTGATGATTTCTAATATAATATTACAGGTTCTATCACATTGTGTCCGGATAGCAGAGTACTTTACACTCTTAGCTTTAAAAAGACCCGATTGCTGTAGGACACAGTTTTGTCTTTGTGTTGGGACAGGTCTTTGGTAAACAATGGCACGTCACACTCCACATTAAATCATAAGAAAGCAAAAAAAAGGAAAAAAATCTGGCTGTTTATTAGCATTTGTATGACAAAGGAGATTCTTTACATTTCTTTTGGCAAAAAAAGCTTCTTAAAGGGTTATTAAACCCTCTGGTGTTTTTACATATATATATATATATATATATGAGGCTAGCGAGCAGTAGATATATGCAAAAAAAGTGTAAAAAAAAGCTTTAAATGTGGTTTAAACTTACCTGTGTCTTCTCCGCGCGCTCCCGTCCAAAAATGTGAAAATTTTGGGCCGGGCGCATGCGCAGTTCGGATTTTGCGGGCCGGCATACGAGGAGAGACACAAGGTAAGTCTATGGACGCGTGCACCCGCATGCAGACACCGTGGGACAGGAAGTGCCAGCAAGCACAGAGGAGTCAGCACTGGATCGGAGACCCGCAGCAGCGCTGGAGGGACAGATGGAAACGACAGGAAAGGAGAAGAAGAAGACCGGATTAAGAAAAATAATTTAAGGTAAGTGCTTTAATTAACATTGGGTGGAGGGAAAAATATCTTTGACTTTAATGTCACTTCAATGCCGAAAATAAGTCAAATTATAAAGTAAAGAATTTAAAAAAATGTAAAAAAATTGCAGCAAGTGCAAAAAAAAAGTTAACAAAAATCCCCCCTATGTCCTTTTCCTTGTGTATGGGTGCTTATTTTTTATGTACATTATGTAATTTAAGTTGTTTAGGTAAATGAGGTAGGTTTTAATGAGAATATCAGAAATTCCGGAATGTTACCTGGTGGGACAGCTGGGTGTTGACATTGTATGCCAGGATGACATTTAGTCCTGCTCACAATGTGAACTGTGTTCCCTAAATCAGCTTAAATTTTGACATAAAAAAGCTTTTACTCACCTGTACATAGTGATACATGGCCAATATCTGTGCTATTGTGGCAGTGGTCCCAGAGCTCTGGTCTCCAATGAAGCCCAGTATTTCTTTACCTCCTCTGCAGGAGTAGTTTGGGAACGTCTTTCCCGGTCCAGATAAAATCTCTAATGTGTTTATTAAAGCCTTCCTGTTTTCCCCACAGGAGTCATACAGGTGATATCCGAGAGTAATGTTTAGTAACATTGTAGGGTTCTTGTTAATTTCATCAATGGCAAAAAAGAAAACCAACAAATTCTTATAAAAATGTGGCTGAGGACTGAAAAAAACAAAACCCACTTAGTGGTTTTATATTAATTATCAGAGCGCCGAGGAATTTTTTTTCAATTAGTTTTATTCAATGTTATTAAATTTTACCATTTGATGTATGCATTGCTGCAAAAGCTAACTGATAAAGGCCTTTGTTAGCTGATGTGAATCAGATTGAGGTGCTTCTGTTGTATGCACGCCATATAAGTTGATAAATGTGAGCTAATTGTAAAAGAAAAAAAAATCAGCCAAATATGTGTCCCCAGTGTGTGTGCTTTGCCTGACAGTGTCCATGCCATATGTACTGTAACACCTCATACAGCTTTAAGGCATCCAACAAGCATGTTATATAAATAATTTGTGTATGTCCAATGTTGTCTTCGGTATATTTCTCCCTGCTCTACATTTAGCCCTGCTTGCCTGAAGCAAATGTAGAAAAAAAATCCCTACCCGTTGCATAGGTTTGCGCAGCCTATTTCATTAGGGCGTGCACACAAAAGTACAAACAAACAAACTGTATATATTTATAGGGCCGCACTGGAATCCGGACATAGGAACACACTGGACCCTGGACATAGGAATGCACTGGACTCTGGACTTAGAAATGCAAGGTGTTGTGCTCGGGAGCACACCCGGAACACTCCATGTCCTGGCGCCTCTTCAGAACGGTGCCTGGGGGGTCACGTGTCTCCTTCTGCCCCCCCCCTCGCTACACCACTGAGTGTGTGCCGCTGATCGAAGGAGCCGGTCAGAAAATCTTTGTACAATAGGAGCCGGCAGCCACTGAGCTAGCTGCCTCTGGTCGGGTATTCTGATAGCAGCTGGCGGTCGCTGTCAAAATACAATGCATTCGATACACTTGTAGTGTTGAGAGCAATCTGCTCTATTTTTCCTCATTCAGTGTTTTTCTCCATAGCTCTCCTCAGGGTCACGGGAGGAAATAAACTAGCGACCTCCCGCTACAGCTCACAGTAGTCTGAGACCGCCGCAGCCGGGACGGACCCCGACATCACTGTTGAGATCCACCCAGCTGTGTGATTGACAGATGGCTCTGCCTATCTAGAGGCAGTGCCAGCTGTACCCGCCCCCATCCGTTCCCCCAGTCAGCGCTGGAGGTTCGGGGGGGGATCCCTGCAGGGAGCCGTGAGTGGCAGTCACGGCTCACTGCAGGGACAGGATCGAGAAGTGAGCGAGCGACGGTATGTGTTCCTGATCTATTGAGCCGACGTGTGATAGTTTCATTGTCACACGTCGGCTCGAACTATGAGGATGAGTGAAAATCACTCGCCCCATAGATCTCCTTTTAATAGAAATATTCTAATGATTTTTGTTGTCTCTAGAATATAAGACAGGATACTCACTTCATACAGTACATGAGAAACATAAATTTGGGGAGATTTAGAACCTCATAGTACAATCCTTTTAAAAGACTATTGACAGTGAAGATCCCTCCGAGTATAATGTCACCGTCCTGATAATACTCATAGTTTTCGTATACATTGGCTGAGTATAGATTGCAGGCTGACGCCGGTCCTGAGTTTTTGGTGTCAGCTGTACAAAGTGTCACATACAGAAGAATCACACAAAGCAGTCCAATCTGTCTCCGAGATGTCGCTGTAAATACAACAGCAAGGAGATCCGGGTATGTCACTATAACCCGATAGAACATGATCTGGGAGTACACACAGCTAGAGAGAACGTCTGTCTGATTCCCTCTATGTAATGAAGCTGAATCCTCTCTCTGTCTTATATAGAGCCCAGTGTAAGGAGAGACAAAGGCTCCTTCATATAGAAACAGATGTACTATGATTACAAATAACTATTTCTTTGTCTTATAATATCAGACTTTATACGAATAGAAGAAAGAGAATAAATAAAGGAATCTAGTATAACATTTCCAGTTATTTTATTTGCATCATTTTGTTACATTTGTAGGTGAATCTGTTTTTAAAATGTTACCAGAAGCAGACAATTATGACAGAAGCGTTTTATCTGAAAATACAGGAACGTCCTCACTACATTGGAAGAAAAACATTCTTGAACATTCCATGAGCAGAGGTCATTGATACCTAGATGCCCAGGCCACATTTAGCAGTGTCAGCATATGTTGGATAACAATAATTCCATGACTAACCTGCATACCTACAAACTTTATATATATACACTATATTGCCAAAAGTATTGGGACGCCTTTACACGCACATGAACTCTAATGGCATCCCAGTCTTAGTCCGCAGGGTTCAGTATTGGGTTGGTTCCGCCCTTTGCCGCTATAACAGCTCCGCCTCTTCTGGGAATGCGTCCACAAGGTTTAGGAGTGTGTCTATGGGAATGTTGGACCATTTGTGAGGTCGGGTACTGATGTTGGGGGAGGGGCTCGCAGTCTCCACTCTAATTCATCCCAAAGGTGTTCTATGGGGTTGAGGTCAGGACTCTGTGCAGGCCAGTCAAGTTCCTCCCACCACCTCTGGAGCGACTGTGGCGGAAAACTAGGTCTCTGCAAGACTTTACCTGTACAAAGCTGCCCTCCTAAAATATAACTCCTCCCTCCGTGCTGCCAAACAGACTTATTTTGTCACTCTCATTAACACCCTCTCATCCAAACCTCGTCAACTCTTTTCTACCTTCAAGTCTCTACTATGTCCTCCACCACCACCACCCACTAACTCACTCACTGCCCAGGACATTGCCATTCATTTCAAAAAACAAAATAGATACCATTCGAGATCAGATCGCCACTGTCCAATCAACTGCTCCTTTTATTATAGTACCTGATCCTCCATCACACTTGTTACTTTCCTCTTTTGACCCTGTCACCACAGAGGAGGTTACTAAGCTTCTCTCTGACACCCACCTGACCACTTGCCCCCTGGACCCTGTTCCCTCAAAACTACTCCGGTCACCCTCTTGCTCTATCCTAGACTCTCTTACCCACATTTTCAATCTTTCCCTCTCTACTGGAATCTTTCCTACCCCACTCAAACATGCACTAGTCACCCCAATACCCAAAAAACCTTCTATTTATTGTTGCCAGGAGTGTCATCTTCATGGTTCAGACATCGTGAAAAGGAGTTTGTTCCTTACTTCGCCCAGGAAGACAAGTTGGTTTATTGCATCGATGTCGTAGGTCTGATGGGTCAATTTAAAATCCAATATGATTCAGAGCAATGGCATCTTTTTATAGATTCTTCAAAAAGAAGTCTCAAAGCAGTTTTACTCCAAAAGGGTTTTTACGCTTCCATACCTGTAGGTCATTCCGTACACTTGAAGGAAACCTACGAGATCTTGGAATTGGTTCTTCGTAAACTTAAATATGAAGACCATGGTTGGCAAGTGTGTGGGGACTTGAAGGTCTCGTGCATGCTACTCGGGCAACAAGCTGGGTATACCAAATACCCTTGTTTTCTGTGTCTATGGGACAGTCGAGACCGACAAAATCACTGGACCAAGAAGAGTTGGCAGCCGAGGGTGCTAACAGTCAGTGAAAAAAATGTCCTCCGAGAAACTTTGGTACCTTCCCATAAAGTTCTTCTACCACCTCTCCACATAAAATTGGGATTGATGAAGCAATTCGTAAAATCACTTCCAAGAGATGGAGAATGCTTCAAATACTTGGTCATCAAGTTTCCATGCCTGTC